TGCGGGGAGTTTGGACACTTGTGGAGGCAGTGTCCTTATCATTTGGGAGGTCCAGTTCAGCAGAGGAGTAAGGCTGCAGCTTGAGCACCAGTTACTTTACCACCCGCCCAACCAGCTCGGGGTGGGGCCCAATTAGCTAGAGGTCGCCCTAGAGATGGAGGCCGATTAGGTGGCGGTCGGGCCCTATTCTATGCTATTCCTGCTAGACCAGATGTTGTTGCTTCAGATGCAGTGATCGCAAGTATTGTCTCAGTTTGCCATAGGGATGCCTCTGTATTATTTGACCCTGGTTCCACTTATTCGTATGTATCATTGTATTTTTCTTATTATCTAGATATGCCCCGTGAGTCCCTAGTTTCATCTACGCCAGTGGGCGATACTATTATTGTGGACCGTGTATAGCGGTTGTGTGTAGTGACCATTGGGGGTTTGGAGACTAGAGTTGATCTGTTGTTGCTTAGTATGGTTGATTTCGACATGATCTTATATATGGATTGGTTGTCTCCATGTCATGCTGATCTGGATTGTCACGCTAAGACCGTGACGTTGGCGATGCCGGGATTGCCAAGTACTAAGTGGAGAGGATCTCTAGACTATATTCCCAGTAGAGTGATTTTATATTTGAAGGCCCAACGGATGGTTGGGAAGCGTTGTTTATCTTATTTGGCCTTTGTGAGGGACGTTAGTCCTAATACTCCCACTATTGATTCTGTTCTGGTGGTGCGAGAGTTTCAGGATGTGTTTCCCCCAGACCTGCCAGGCATGCCGCCCGACAAGGATATTGACTTTGGTATTGACTTGGTGCCGGGCACTCAGCCTATTTCTATTCCTCCGTATCATATGGCACCAGCTGAGTTGAAGGAATTGAAGGAGCAGCTTCAGGAACTCCTTGATAAGGAGCTTATTAGGCCTAGTGTGTCACCTTGGGGTGCAACGGTTGTGTTTGTGAAAAAGAAGGATGGTACTATGAGAATGTGGATTGATTATAGACAGTTGAACAAAGTCACAATCAAGAACAAGTATCCTTTGCCGCATATTGATGATCTATTTGACCAGCTTCAGGGAGCTAGGGTGTTCTTTAAGATTGATTTGAGGTCTAGGTATCACCAGTTGAAGATTCGGGGCTTGGATATTCTAAAGACAACATTCAGGACCCGTTATGGCCATTATGAGTTACTTGTAATGTGTTTTGGGCAGACCAACGCCCCAGCAACGTTCATGCATTTGATGAACAGTGTGTTTCAGCCTTATATCGACTCGTTTGTCATAGTGTTCATTGATTATATCCTGGTGTACTCTCGTAGCCAGGGGAGCATGCCCAGCATTTGAGGATTGTCTTGCAGCGGTTGAGGGAGGAGAAACTTTATCCCAAGTTCTCCAGCTGTGAGTTTTGGCTTAGTTTAGTGGCGTTATTGGGGCACGTGGTGTTCAGTGAGGGGAGTTAGGTGGATCCGAAGAAGATAGAGGCGATTCAGAGGAGGCCCAGACCTTCCTCGGCTACGTAAATTCGGAGCTTTCTCGGCTTGGCCGGTTATTATCGTTGCTTCGTGGAGGTTTTCTCGTCTATTGCATCTCCCTTCACCTAAATGACCCAAAAGGTTGCTCCTTTCAGGTGGTCGGATGAGTGTGAGGAGAGCTTTCAGAAGCTCAAGACTGCCTTGACCACGGCTCCAGTTCTAGTTCTACCTTCAGCTTTTGGTTCTTATACAGTGTATTGTGATGCTTCTCGGATCGGTATTGGGTGTGACTTGATGCAAAAGGGTAGAGTGATTACTTATGCTTCGCGACAGTTGAAGCCCCATGAGAAGAACTACCCTGTTCACGATTTGGAGTTTGCTACCATCGTTCATGCATTGAAGATTTGGAGGCATTATCTCTATGGTATGTCTTGTGAGGTGTTTATGGATCATCGGAGCCTCCAGCACTTGTTCAAACCAAAGGATCTAAATTTGAGGCATCGGAGATAGTTGGAGCTGCTAAAGGACTATGATATCACCATTCTGTATCATCCCGGGAAGGCCAATGTGGTGGCCGATGCCTTGAGTAGAAATGCGGTCAGTATGGGTAGTCTTGCATTCATTCCTGTTGGTGAGAGACCTCTTACTATTGATGTTTAGGCCTTGGCCAACCAGTTCGTGATATTGGATATTTCGGAGCCAGTCGGGTTCTAGCTTGTGTGGTTTCTCTGTCTTCCTTATTTGATCGCATCAGAGAGCGCCAGTATAATGATCCTTACTTGCTTGTCCTCAAGGACAGGGTTCAGCATGGTGATGCCAGAGATGTGATTATTGGGGATGATGGGGTATTGAGGATGCATGGTTGGATTTGTGTGCCTAATATGGATGTGCAGTCTAGATAGAAGAGTTATGCTGACAGGAAGGTCCGTGATGTTGCTTACATGGTTGGGGAGAAGGTTCTACTCAAGGTTTTACCCATGAAGGGTGTTATGAGGTTCGGGAAGAAGGGCAAGTTGAGCCCTCAGTATATTGGTCCGCTTGAGGTACTTTAAAGGATTGGAGAGGTGGCTTACAAGCTCGCCTTGTCACCTAGTTTTCCGATTGTGCGTCCAGTATTTCATGTTTCTATGCTTCGGAAGTATGTCGGCGATCCGTCTCATGTTTTGGATTTCAGCATGATTCAGTTGGATGGTTATTTGACTTATGATGTGGAGCCGGTGGCAATTTTAGATCGGCAGGTTCGAAAGTTAAGGTCAAAGAACATAGCTTCAGTGAAGGTGTAGTGGAGAGGTCAGCCAGTTGGGGAGGCTACTTGGGAGACCGAGCGGGACTCCCGGAGCAGATATCCACACCTATTTGAGACTCCAGGTATATTTCTGGACCCGTTCGAGGACGAACGATTGTTTAAGAGGGGGAAGATAACAACCCGGCCGGTCGTTTCGAGAGTTGTAGCCCTGTTTCCCCATTTACTACTCATTTTGTGCTTTACAATTGTTATATGACTTACCGGGTTAGTCGGTTCAGGTCCGAGAGGATTTCGAAATGAATTGAGACACTTAGTCTCGTAGCGTCATGACCCGATAGGTCATCTCATGTTTTGGAACCTAATTCTGTGATCTGAAGCCTTAAAAAATCATGTTTAGGCCTTCCTAGATTTGCTTGCGCAGTCCGGCGTCTTTCTGGAAAGCTTTTATGTTAAAAACTCTTAAAAATAAGAAATTTTGCCTAAAACTTCATTTGAGTTCACTTCGGTCAATTTTTTTGGTGAACGCACCCGGATTTGTGTTTTGACAGTCACGGTGGGTTCGTATCGTGATTTGGGACTTGGGCGTATGCCCGGAATCGAAATCGGAAGTCCTTAGCCCGAGATATCGGACTTTGTCGAAATTTAAAAGTTAAAGGCTTAATGAATTTGAAGTGTTTGACCAAAGTTTGACTTTTTGGATAACGGGTCCGTATTTTGATTTCGGAACCCGGTATAAGTCCAATACCATATTTATGACTTGTCTGTGAAATTTGGTGAGAAACGGAGTTGGAGTAAATTCGTAAATGTTGGCTTGCCTATTGTCACGTCAGGCACCATCACGACAGGTTAGGAATTTGGAGCAAATATTTGTTTCGGATTTCAGGGCCTCAAAGCAAATATCAAACGACAGATGAGGAAAAAAAAAAAAAAAAGTAAGTTGGTAAAAAGCCAAATGAAAGAGTAGCTTTCACAAACATTCCCCAATGGTTCGATCGTTCAATTTAGTAGCTTACCAAAAGAATCCATAGCCTAAAAATATACACACTTTATGCTGTACTGAAAAATGCCATTTACGAACTACTGAATAAGAATGTTCACATAATGGTGAAAATGAGAGTTGCGCATCTTGCACTGTATGTGTACCACTATTCCCTTTAATTTTCAGTTTATTCTACCAAATTCATAAAGCTAATATTTTTTTTTTTATAAAAAAATCAACTATATTTATATATAGGTTGCTGAAAATAAAAATGTCTGAAAACGCTAATTCGGTCTCGAAAAACTCAAATGGGCTACTACAAGTATGAATTTGACATGTAAGTATAGCCATATTTGCACTCACCTTGCATAATAACTACGTAAGACCACTTAAAAATGAAAAATAAAAATATTTTTCGACTTAACCAAATGCCCGATGTTATGTGACACATTATGGGTTCTTGTTTCTATTTTTATAATGTGTTACACAACATATATTTTTATTTTTAAGTGATGCCGCGTGGATATTATGTAAGAGGATTTGGTGAAGTCGGATCTTGCTTGCATTATTGCAAAGATTAAACTTGCAACATAACTAATCTCTCAATCATGAGGAGCCAGTCTCTATGGTAAGTTCAAGTTTTATACATTAACAATTTAAAATCTTTTTACACGATCAAATCAGCAATTAACTGTGTAATAATGAACAACAAACAATAACTTTGGAAAAGAAGAATAAGTAACTCGTCAAAACCGTTTAAATTACATTGAGCGCGTAAAAATTTGTACACTCTCTTATAAAACCTCAACATACAGTAATTTTATCAATAGAAATAATAAAAGTAAATAGAGGACGGCTAAACTGAAATTTTTTCACTCAAATCACTCACAAAACTTCAAAAACAATCCAAACTGAAATTTATGTCCAAACACAACTCTAAATTTCACATACCATTTTCACTTGAAAAAAATTTTCACCAATTTTCCGAAATTTACAATTCTTATGTCCAAACGCCTACTAAATAGAGGGAAAAAAGTTGTCTCTATGTGACTTATAGGTTACGGGTTCGAGCTGTGGAAGCAACCACTAATACTTGCATTAGGGTACGCTGTCTACATTACACCCTTTCGGATGAGGTCCTTTCCCGAACCCTATGTAAATGCCGAATATTTTGTACACCGAACTGCCTTTTAGAGGGTAGAAAGAAAAAATGGGGCTTTTTTCTTGGTGGCATTAGAGGAGGGTCCCTTGCACAAAATTCCATTAAGCTTTTTGGGCACCTACAAATACCCTGACAACCTCTTCCCCTTTTATTTGCATTCAGAAACATCAGCCAAAAACACCCCATACTCTCTATATACCAATAGCAATAATATTATCATCTACATATTCTCTTAGCTTGCAACTGTCATCCAACTGGACACTGCCTTTTATTGGATGTTTTTGTTGTTTGCTTAAGGTAACACTTATTTTCTTTCTTACTTTTTTAATTTTCTTTTTGATATAAGCTTACTGTTAAATCGAGCGATATGAACCATGAAAATTTATATAGTTGGTCCTAATTTACTTGGGATTGAAGCGTATCAGTAGTAATAATTGTTGTTATCTTAGTAATGTATAATGGGAATTTGAGAAAGGTAGCTAGGCTTATAAGACCTTGCCACTTGAATATTTTCCTGAGTATATATGGTTCAATTTTCTTGTTCTTTTCTTATAATTGATCGAAAACGGCCTTTCTACCTTCACCAGGTAGGGGTAAGGTCTGCGTGCACACTATTTTTTTCAGACCCCACTTGTAGAATTACATTGAGTCTGTTACTGTTATTTTTCTCGTAATTGACTTTAACTTTTTGTGCAGGGAAAAAGGGATTTGTTTTGATCTTCTTCCATTGTTTGTTTCTTGGACTGCAAAGAAGATGTCAACTACTTGTATAAGCAACAAGAACTTCAACTTATCTATAAAAATGGAAGAAGAAACAATAGCACCACAATTGAGTAAACCACCAACAATACCTTTGTCTAAGGCAAGTAAAGTGAAACAAGGCATAGTGTCAATTCTTGGATCAGAATCTGAAAGAGGAAAATCAAGTGCACCCTCAATTAGAAGAACCTTTTCAGCTGATATGTCCTCTAAACAATGGCTAGCACAAAATGGATTTTTTTCTTCTATGAAAAGAATTGCTTCATCAAAAGATCTTGCTGTTATTTCTGCTGCTGATCGTTCTTCCTCAGTTGATGTTTGGAGCTCAATTTTGTCGAAAAAGAAAGATGATCATGACATGTCGAATCTTGAAACTCCTTATATTCACCCTCTTGTTAAAAGATCAGCTAGTTCTTTGAGTGAAAAAAGTCTTGAAATTTGCACTGAAAGTCTTGGATCGGAGACTGGCTCTGATAGCTTTTCCTCCTACACTCCTTCTGAAACCGGAGATGCAGTAGAGGAGGAAAAAGACGAACAACAACAACAACAACAATACGGCTCGGAATCCTTTGAGGAATTCCGAGCTGTAAAATATAATTATAGCAAGAAATCATCTTCTTTTCCTAAATCTTTTCCTCCTGCAATTCCTTCCTTGGCTAATGGGGAAAACAAGCCTTCTCTTCACATGCAATCTCGACGTGAAGATGGTAGACTGATTCTTGAAGCTATTTCGGCTCCCTCTCGAAATCTTTTCCATGCCCATCGCCATGATGGTCGCCTTCTTCTCACCTTCATTGATGATTGTACTCCTAATTCATCATCAAAACCGGAGATGGAGGATTACAGAGAAGACTTTGATGAAGTGTTCGACGATATTGATGATCAAGCACCTCAATTTGATGACAAGAGTATTGATTGTCCTGAACAAGAAGAAGAAGAGATAGAAAATGAGATCATTGTGATGGAGCAAAAGCCAAGATTATCAAGTGGGTTGATAAATATGAAGAATCTTGTACCATGGTCTAACAAGTTTAATAAAGTTGTCAACTTAACGAGTTCTATAGGTTCAACTGAACTGGTGGAGAAGCTAAGTGAGATAACCACAATTCCTCAGTCACTCCTAACTCAGCTAATCCCATCTCCTCCACCACCGACCGCTGCCTCGGGCTTGGCATCTTTCAATGCCTATGAGTATTTTTGGAGGAAGAAGCCAACAGTTGCAAGCATTGCCAACAGTCCTACAATTGCAAAAAAAGGTAACAACTTTCTTGCAACCAATAGTACTGCTATCAATGCCAAGAGTACAACAAACATAGCAGCATATGAGCAGCAAGATATGGTGTTAATGAGAGGGAAATACAAAGAAAATATGAACTATTTGGTGCCTTTGCAAAGAGGATGCAAAGAGTCAAGGAGGTCTTTACTAATTTGGGAGCCTTATTGCATTGCCACCTCCTGATATTCATCATCAAAAAGATCAATTCTTTAATCCTATCCTAATCCAATTACTAATTAACCATTGAAATAAATATATTTAACTATGTAATATTATAGTATGTATTAGTAAGATTGTAATTTTCCTCTTTGAGTCATGACAAGTTTTTACTCTTTTTGCCAAAGAAAGAGTTTGGTGTAACCAAATAACAAAGAGAGATATCATTGCTTTATATACAACCATCAGATTTTGTGCGAGTTCTTTTTCTTCTCTTTCCCGATATAACGCCCTATACCGAAAAATTATACTATGTATGAGGTAAAATATTAGTACTTGCCATTGATCAAAAAATACATTTTGAATGCCCTTGCATAGCGCACTGACAAAAAAAGTTCAAATTTTGAACACTCTTGATGAATTTTCTGACTTCGCCACTACTTGATTTATGACTTCTTTTTTTTTTTTTTGAGTTTATGATGATAGTAGTACTTAATTATTAGCCAAAAAAATCTGGTGACCTATCTTTGACTCGGTGGAGTGTCATTTCTCTCTGGCTTGGCATCAAAATGGGAATTCTCCCCTTTTTTCTTTCTTTTCCTTCCTTTCTCCATAAGCTTTTGGCAGTCCAAAGTCCAAACAAAGACTGAAAAACAATTGAGTGGTATTGCTTTATACAAAGACAATGGGCAGAGTGGTTTCCCTTTGGGAAGTTTCTATGAACTTAGGCCCGTTTGGACATAAAAAAATTCACTTTTTTTAGAAATCAGTTTTTGCCCATAATATTTTCAATTTGCACTTGAAAATAAATTTCGGAATTTTTCGAAAATTTGAAAAACTCAAAAAAGTATTTTTCAAAATTTTCAATTCAGACCACTCACAAAAATTTAAATACAACCGAAAATTGTATTCATGTGCAAACACAACTCAAATTTTCAAATATCATTTTCACTTGAATTTTTTTCACTTTTTCCGAAATTTTACAATTCTTTTGTCCAAACGCCCACTTAATCATGAGAATGGTTTGCACTCTCCTGGCGAAGCAACCGTTATAATTACGGATTCAGTAGAATTTATTAGCTTTTATTCATGTTCTGTATATTTGTTAAAATAAATTATTTAATATATATAAATAATATATTTAGAATCCATTAAGCGAAAGGATTAACGTTCAAAACTCAAAATCAAAATTCTAGATTCGCCTCTATTTTCGTGCTCAAAACCTCTATCACTCTTCTATTGAAACCTTCACGGGAAAGGAACGGCACTCGCTCTACTTCTAAAGATAGATAGAAATGGTTAGGGGTTCCTAGCTGTTGAGGTGGCATAATGACTCATCTAATACAAACTATGCTGTTGGGAATAGTGTGAAATATTATATTACTACGTACTGTTTTCCATGCATGAATATTCGGTTCTTTAATTTTCGATAAAACAGTGAAAAGGGAAGCTAATGGGGAACAAAATTTGAGGTTTCTATCCTAAAGAACATTTTTAAAAAGCAAAATATTTAGATAAAATTTTAGTATAAATTTAGATAAAGTGAGGAAGAGGTGATAGTTGGTCCAGGTGATGATGAAGATGGCTTAAGGAACAAGCAAAGCAATCTTTCGCCCTCAACTGAAAACTCTCGGGGCACGTTTGGTACTAGGGACAAGGAATATTTAATTCCGAGATTAAATTTAAGAAGAGCTTATCTTATATTTAGTTGGGAGAAAATTACGGTATAATTAATCTCGGGATTAATTATTTCGGGATTGTAGTATTTTTTTATCCTCATGAAAAGGTGGAATAACCAATCCCGAAATAACTAATCCCGGGATAACATCTTTCCAACCAAACGACCCCTCAGTATCGTTTCTCTCTTTCTTAAGCTTACGCTGTGTGAATCTGAATTAGTTGAATAGGTAAATTTTAAATTCTATATGATTACACCAAGAAAAATCATTATCATTTATTTATGCTCATAATAAGTATTTTAAAAGGTGAGAGCACATGAACACGAGGAAAGAATTAGTGTTGAAACATGAGATATATATATGCTATATAATTCATCACCATAGTAAATCTTTCAAAACAAATTTATGTTATTACTTGTTAACATTGAACTATTTATAAGCAAATAAGTCTCATATTGTTTAGGATTTGCCCTGATTTTTTTACCATATCTGATTTTCCTGTTACTTGAAGGAAGGGTAATGTATTTACTTTAATTAATTTTATTTTTCCTAAAAGTAAAATATAGATCTCTTGTATAATTGATAAAATACAGGTTGTGGACCTCTATAAATTGAGGATCCCTCCTTCACATTACATCACAATAGCATCCACAATATAGTCATATAATAGTCTTGTTTAAGAGGAGAGCGTATTCTCTTGATAAGTATTTTTCTTTCTTTTATATTAGTAGATTGATGTAGGTCAATTGACTAAACCATATTAAGTTATAATATATTCTTAGATATATTATTTTTCTTTTGTCGCCTAATTATTGTAGATTTGCTTTGTTAGCTTTCGCATGACGTCTTGTTAGTTATAACGACAATACTATTATCAACCGGAATAAAGTAGGAAAACAAGATTTGAATTAAAGAAATATATAGCAGACTAAAGAGTCTGTTTACCTCGAAAATACGAGTAACAATTAAATTTGATTTGTGGTTTTAAAGATATGCGATTTAGTTCAATACCAATTGATAATCAAGAAATATGAAGTAGAAGGGAAAGAAATAAGTGAATCAAACCAATTTAACTCAGCAGCAGTGACCTCGAGCTTAGTGAGCTCAAGGTGGGTTTAGAACAGTAAGAACAATTAAGCAAGAAAAGTGAAGTAAGACCAGTAGAGCTAAAGGACAATTCTGATGAACAGTAGGCAAAAAGTAGAGAGTATATTCTTTTCTCAATGATTAGATGATGTTACAAATGATTGGGGTCTCCTTTGTATAATAGGGGAACCCTAAATAAGGTATATTTCTATTTACAGTAAGGAATAGTCTTGGTACGGCTGTCTAACCGCCTGGTACGGAATAGTACGATCCTATTCCGGGATTTGCATCGTGATCTTGGGGACGTGGCAGGAATCTTGCCCCTTTTGTTGCAAGTCCATAACGGTACTATTTCAGGGTCGAGCATACTCGACCTCGGTGTGCATCCTGCTCTGTCTTCAAACTTGGGTCTGGTCCCTCGAGCTCGAACTCAACCTTTCCTGAATTCGGACTTTGGATGACCTCTCGAGCATATAGATCGAAGGCATACGATCTCGACGATATACAGATAGTCCTTGCGTTTCTTAGAGTAAGATGATAAGAAACGATTTGAACCTCGTTTTACCGGAGTCTTTAGTGATGACGTCATTCCGTGACGTGTGCACTCGAAGTGACTGAAACGTCTCGTCGGTTCGCTTCCCCAAAACATTAAATGTACACCAGTGTTGGTCGGCAACCGTCGTAACCTTTCTATAAATATGCGGCTACTTCTTCAAATGATGGACTTTACTCTTTCATCACTTTCGCTCTGATTCTTCTTCATTTCTTTCCCTAGTCATCTGCTTCCACCGCCCCTTTGAGCTCCGAAAAATGTAAAGTCCCCGTGAAACACCACGTTTTTGCTAAGATCTGTATTCTTCAGCTTAAAATCATGGCTAAAACTTCCAAAACGGTCCCCAAAAAGATAAAGCGTCGTCTTCTTCTTCCTCTCAGCCGACAAAAACGGTGGTGCCGCCGACTCTTTAAAAAATCACCCCCGACCCTTGCGTGATTAAGAAGGACTTCAGTATTGAAAATCCCCTCGATGTCCCGGGCTGATGCAAACATGCGTCTCGATATCTTAGTTTGATATCAAAGAAGAACCTCAAAGCAATGAAGAGGGACTGCGGCTGGGGCGACGAGGCCTTGGTTCAGATCCCGAGCCCCGAGGAAAGCATTACTACCCACGTGGAAGGGTTTTTAAGTATTTACACTTACCCCTTCACACTGGGTCCCCTCGATCTGGTGGTGATCGACTTCTGCAAAACATACGAAGTCACCCTCGGCCAGATTCACCCCTCCTTTTGGCACCTCGTGATCATGTTGAGCTACTTTTTCGAAAAGGCCGAGGGGTTGGAATTCACCCTCAACCACCTGATTCGATTGTATCGGCCCCGGCTATTTCGAGGGCTTATCAAGCTGCAACGTCGAACAAAGAAAGCCTTCTTTGCCTGTAACGACGAAACTAAAGATCGAGGCTGGATGAGCCGGTTCGTCAGAGTAACGACTTCGGATGTCATCCCCAGGGATAAATGCCGTTCCCGGAGAGATGGAACCTTAATCGTAAGTGGAGTTCTTCTTCCCAATATTTACTCATATTCAGCTTCCATGTCTTACAGTGCCTTTACCCTTTTTGTAGCCACTGCCTAGGTGCCTCATGCGGTCCCCGACTCCGAGGATTGGGTCCGAAAATTAGCTGCCACCTCCTCCTACGATGAGCGCAAATGGCGTGAATTATCGAGGGGCAAGTGGGAGGCCAAACATCATAGTAAATTCTATTCCCAAGTTTCACATATTTTTCATTTGCTGGTGGCGTCAACTTATTCACGTTTACTTGTGTAGGCATCGGAGATGTATCCGAAATGAGGCCAGCTCCGTCCGGGGAGAAGACTGTGTCCTCGACCCCAAAATTGGAGAAAGACAACAAAAGAAAAAGGGCTTCAAAGCCTGAAGATTCCCAGGATGAGGCGATACCTGCCCGAAAGCCGAGGAGAAGACTAATTCATGTGGACTTGGATTCAGCCATCCAATGCCTGGAGGATGAAGAGAACGATGGTGGAGAATCGGCGCTGGTACCTCAAACCAGGAAACCAATCGAAGCCGTCAATGCCTCCGATCCTGATGCCTTGCCACTTGATGAAGGGACTCCGAATAGAGACTCGAAAAAAGCCCTCGAGTCCCCCAAGATCGAGACCGTACCTCCTTCTTTGATAAATACACCGAAGGGGACAAGCGCAGAGAGGCCGAAACTAGCCAGAACGCCCCGAGCGAGGAGCTCGGGGCCATGATAATGGGTCATTCACTTTCTCTTCCAGCTTACTCTAAAGAGCCAATAAAGAATCCACGGGCTTTGCAAACACCGATCCGAGCAAGATCCTCGAAGAAAACCCCTTTCGGGATTGTTTCACCTGGGTTGGCGACGTTGCTGACCTTAACGATGCATCCGCCCTTTTCGAGGAGGCTCAACGTCTTCTTTCTCAGGTAAATTCTAACTTTCATTGTCGTAACTTCATCTC